TTGCATCGTTATCTGTGCGCCGACTGTCCTATAGATAAGAGCTTTCGATCGCCAATACCTTCGCATCAATACAATGCCTCCCAATATAAGTAACGGCGCGAACACACATGTAATCCCCAAACGCACCTGTAGTTTAGATTAATGACAGTTTAGTGGCATATTTTGTCACATGAATAAAGGCTTACCTTTTTGAGAGTTTGTGGTGAATGAGTGGCACAATAGTTGACTATAACGTAGAGCCAGAGGATGACAATTGTGGCCATAAATGCAAACAAGTCGAGCACCCGTTCCCTCACCACTCCCTTCAATGGTTCAGTAGTTGTCCATCAAATGGATAGTAATTTACAAATAGAAATGTCTGTCGATAGAGACCTGAATCACATAAACCGATGAGAAGCAGGCCGTCCACAGCAACAGCAATGCAAACGTGAAGTCCTGCGAAGACTTGGGAAGGGCTACCAATCGCTCGATGCTGATCACCACCAGCGAGACCACTGTCACCAGAGATACCATGAGATACACCCATTCGCGTCCAGTCAATGAATATAAGGTCCGGATCTTTCATTTCAAATTATATGATTATCTTTAGTCGGATCAGACATTCAATGGTAACATGAGATCACTCACGGGTCCGATGGGCGTGTGTTTGACGAGTGGTTCAGGTCTTAAGCCCAGGTCTGCTAATGTGAACTGTCGACCATCATTGGCCACTTCATTATCACCATTCAGTTGCATGTCTTCATGAGATAAGTGTCGGCATAAGTGTTGACACAATCGGTGGTTAAAAGGAAACTAAAAGTCATAAATAGACACAACTTTTGGCGAAAGGGTTTGTTTTGACAAACTTTCAGCCAATCAGTGCTCACAACGTGCGGGCGTTTACCACACGTGGTCTCATTGCTTGTGGTTGTCATCACTTCATTGTCCATTCATTTCAATGCATTAGTATTGGCGCTAATATTTGAATACAATTTTAAAAAGTAAAACAATTTGTAAACCACAATATATATTTAGATAAACACCTAATTGTAATGAGTCATTATACAATAAAATACATTAGTTGTAAATAAATTCAGTCAATAATTTTTATTTTATTTGTTAACTCTGAAAATAGTAATACATTTTACCGTTATAACTTATAACATACGGTATTTGTATTTACGGTACAAAGCAATTAGTTTTTATATTAAACACATTTTAATGAAAATATTAAAGGCATTTAATGTTTTAGACACACAAATAATTATATATTCTTTGGAAGTATTTAATAGATAATTCAATAATAACAATATATATTTATAATGAATAATAATGATTTTGGGTAATAGTAAATTGTAATATAATGTAATCACTTGTATATACAGTATAATTAAAAATTATAAATAGTTTAGTGTATTATTAGGTATCAAATGTAGAATTAATCACTTTATTTATCACAAATTGTTCGCGTCTTAGATATGATATTAAAAATAATGATCGCTTTAAAAATGAGATGAAATGTGAGTAAACAATGATTTAATGAATCTTTAATTATTCTGAGATGATTGGTTCAGTTATGGTATCGGATGTGGAGGTCTGAGGCATTCCATCCTTTGAGCCGTAAACTAATGAATCAAATAATTAATTCATTTATCATTTCCTGAAATCGCTGCAAAAACTATTGCATTCAAAATACAGTACTATACGACTATTACCGATAATATTACCTAATACTACTAACTTGTACCGTAAGTATACAAGTATTATACGCTATAAACACTTAAACGATAGATTTCATTGAATAGAGTAACAGATGGCTTAAAAAGTCAATAAAAACAAGAATATTGTATAAATAGTATTTAGACAAACCTTTATGTTTGAGTCCTTTATCAAAGTTAAACATTACGAAAATCATGACAACTATGGTAGTGATGCGAACTATGAGAGCGATAATACCCGACAAATACACCGACAACTCTAGTACTTCGTCGTCGACACCCATTGAGTACTGTATTGTAATAAATAGATATTCATTAACAATGAGTCATTGTTATAATAACTAGAGATTGCGATAAGAAGTGGTAATTTGATGAAAAAAATATATTGCAATATACTTTATTTAAGTAATGAGCCTGATTCAAGGTCTATTATTAACAACCGAGTTTTTATGACCAGCGCTTTTTGTGTATTTCACAGCCAAACAAGAGCTTGGCGTAGACTTTAATATAAATACAATTACCGCACAAGTTATTACTGTACACAAAAGTTATTGCAAATTATATTGGACTCTATAAACATACAAGTATTGCAATATTAGACGATTGTAGACCTAGACTATTGAATGTAAATTGGTTTCAAATGCAATGCATTGTAACTGTGGTGACAGGCACTGTAACTGTATATTTACATTAAAGATAACTCATGCAATACTGGTAGTCTAGTATTAATTGCATAACTTCTAGAAAATGAAATAAATCTAAATTAATATTTATGTGTGAATACCCCCAATAGTCCTAAACTAATCCAAGTAATGGTAGCAATAGATCCGATGCTGACAACGACGCGATCGGTTTCATCCCAGTGTCGGAACCCTTTCCTGAGCCATAGTATGAGCGAAGAACCGGCTAATTGGACGTCAAATTTCAATAGACTTTGAGCCAAAAATAATATTTCGCATATCCTTTGCATCGCACCGTTGGCGCCAACCGTCCGGAAGATTAGGTTTTTGGACCGAAAGTATCGCAAACTAAACATAATGCCCGTCAGGATGAGTATGGGTGCGAACGCACATGTGATCGCCAGACGCGCCTGTAGTTTAGCAAATCAATGCACCCATTATTACAGTGAATGACAATTTGTTACAGAAATACATTAGCAATGAATTGAATAAATGCATACAATTTTGATAGCACTGTGCGATTGATTGGCCGTATAGTTGAATATAACATAAACCCAAACAATCAAAATCGTGGCCACAAAGGCTATCAACTCAAAGGCACGCTCTCTGAACACTCCCTAAACATATAAAACAGAGGTTTAAGTGATTAAGTGATCATAATTTGCATATTTTTGAAATCATTTCATAATAGAGATCATAGTTTTGCATATTATTAGATAAAACGTTCAATTATTGCTATCTTTGCAAACACTTTGTAAACAAATTGACAATCATTTCATTGATGAGTATTGAAATGAATTTCAATTACGAGTAAATGAGTAATAATGTCATAATTGCACACAAATTATGGTATCATTGAAATCAATTAACAAATAATGGTATGAATGAAGACCTGAATGACGTAAACGAAGCAAAAACAAGTCGTCCAGAAGAGGAGGAATGCGAACGTGAAGTCCGGATCAGCTGATGGCAGGGCTACGAGTCGGTCGATGGTTATGCCCATCAATAAGATCAGTGTTACCATCGATACAATCAAATACATCCATTCATATCCGGACAGTGAGGTCACGGCACGAGTCTATTGGTTACACAAGGAATCAATGCACACAACAAGACATTTGACATCTGATCCACTCATAGAGTTAACTATCAATGGCTAAGACAATGAATGGTAAGCTATGATCACTTACGGGTCCAATGATGGTCTGTTGAGTGTGAGGTCGAGGTCTTAGTCCGAGATCAGCGATCGTATAGACAGGTCTGTCATCTGCGACGGCAGTGGTAGTGGTGACCACCGATGACTGATCCCGTTCTGCCATTATATGACAATTGGTTCAATGGATTGATTGCTGTCTGCGTTCACACGAAACGAGTGATAAAAACATAATTAAAAGTGAAATAACGATAAAATGCGAGACTTTTGCCAAAAATGAGTGTTTGTTTGCAAACTGTTTGTGAAATCATTGGCCAATCATTGCGTGCATTGAGTGGGCGTTCAATACATGTGTTGTTTTCAGTTTCTATGCTTTCAATGTTAGCGCTTACTATGAATATTCTGTTATATTCTTATGTTATGACCAGGGTTATACTTATGGCACATTCACATCATATTTTTAATGTAATGCTGCGGTATATTATGTAATGTATTATGTAGCTTATTCTTGAAGCGAGTAATTAATAATTTACAAAGTTATTGTCTTATAAAATTTTTTTATTGAAATATTATAAGAAATAACTACTTTATATGATAATTAAAATACCTAAAAATGATACTACGTAAATATACATGAACAAACAAAATATTATGCTAATTAATTAAAATGTTCACATCAGCGATACATTATTTACAGCATTTAGAATATGCAATAAAATTTTATAATTAAAATCAGAATCTATTAAGGTCTATTAAAATAGTTCAATAAATCATTGATTACTATTAAAATTTAGATAAAACAAAGCCATGGCTTTCAATAAATTTATAAATTAATGGCCGGTAAGTGATTTGAAAAACGGAAGCCGTTCATACGAGTCGTTGACAAACACTGACGGCATAAGAATCATCTCATCGATCATCTGGTGGTCAGTCTTCCGGTAGAGGCTATCTGATGGGTAAAACTCATAATATCGACGATTGGGAACGGGATTCTCGGGCATTGGTAGCTTAGGGTACGTCTTCTTCATGGACTCGAGCAACTCGATGGGATCGCTGCGGCTATGAATGAAGGAGCACCGGGGTCCAAAGGAACAGTACCCATGAAACTGGTATGCCGTGCAGATACGGGTCTTATAGTTGGGATGGCGGTTCACTTTGTGATTGATTTCGTGAATACCGTGAGCGTAGACACACCTCAACCCATATTGACAGTCACCCAACTCGAGGAACTGGTGACACAACTCCGTCTTATACCTGGCGTTTGACTTTTGAGACAAATAGTTGTTCTTTGGCTGATATTCCTCTTCATAGCCAGAAGNGATTGATTTCGTGAATACCGTGAGCGTAGACACACCTCAACCCATATTGACAGTCACCCAACTCGAGGAACTGGTGACACAACTCCGTCTTATACCTGGCGTTTGACTTTTGAGACAAATAGTTGTTCTTTGGCTGATATTCCTCTTCATAGCCAGAAGTGCTGTTCTTCGGCTGATATTCCTCTTCATAGCCAGAAGTGGTCGACTGTTGGCCGTCATCTGTCGTTGTCTTCGGCTCGCATTCATTGATCTCAGGGATGGCCAGAAATAGAGATTTTTCCCATTCCTTACTAATAGTATTGTTTTCTAATTTCATATTAGTCTTGTTATTATAGTTTGATTACAAATACAAAGCTTTTCGAAACAATTATATTAAATTACAATTAGGAATTATATCTTAATTTGTTTACGTTTATTAAAATTTGCATATACTGTACACACAATTTAAAAAATAATTATAAAATACACTATTTAAAAATATGTAATAAAATTGAATAGGTTGTTTAAAAATTGTTTAATAAAATTGTCAAACGCCAGACTTTAAGTACTGTGTAATAATCTATTACTGAAATAACTTTTATTAAAGAAAACATTTCATTTTCAAAGTTAGACTACTTATTTTGAAAAGTTTTTCCATAAAAATTAATTTAACACTATACAAAATGACATTTAACCTTTATATCAACAAATTTATATCTTTGCTCAATATTATTTATACTTTCTAATCAATTACAAATTATTACTTTATATTAAGATAAACTTGAAATTTAGATTATTTTACAGGTAGTGTATGATATTTTATAAATATAATAACATATTAATAGTTACTTTAAATAATTAGGGTTAAAACTTAGAATTATCAGTGTAGTACATTATATTAATCTATAAATAGCTTGGAAAAATAATGCTTATTTGTTTATTACTGGTAGATTAACAGGTTGTGAATTAAAGACAAATTCTTGAATAAATATAGTGTCAGAAGACACAAACTTACGTCAATCCAAACAATATTAGAATTTCTGATTGAATTAAGTGAAATATTGATAACAACTACAGATTCAATAAAAACTAAACCTCATATACTATACCAGAGACTAAATGCTATTCCTATATTTAATTAAGTTGAGAATTGTAGTGATATAAGTTAATTGATTAAAATTTAATGCTTATTCAAACATCATAATACACTTTCCAATTAATATAAAAATAAGCTTTTGAACAAATTTAAGGTTATTCTGTATTTGGAATTCTGTAACAAAATGACAATGTCAGATTTATTACTATTTGTAAAATTTGTCTTGCTAATAAACAGCGTGTTGTCGGATATCGTACAAAACCCAATATATCCGGACAAAGAACTTAGTTTTCGTAAGAATAGGTGTTATGGGACAAAGGATGAACAAACAGACTTCTATAATACGCTGACAATGAATCCATACAAACGGTTTCAAAGACCTGGAGTGAAGGGTGGTACAATGGATGACCCGCTTTATGTAATACACATTTTAAACACAAGAATATTCTTGAATATAGTTTCAAACTATAATTAAAGATAAACGTGAGTTTGGATATGAGTTCGTTGGCGTCCATCGACGACTTGAACTCAGAATACAGTCTCGTATTGACGATGGACTTGGAGTGGTATGACGAGTATATTGGAAGCCACTTTGTCTGTTCAGATGAGGACATACCGGTGGTGTTAAGTATGGAGCCGGGACAACATTCCAGGATATGGACTCCTAAACTGGGTGTTCCCGGTGTTAAAGAGCCCGGCTCTGCTGAATTTAATTCTCAAAATGTGATTGCTTTCAAACTCGGAACCAATGGCTATATATTTATTAGATCCCGGTGCCTATTATTTGTTCTCTATTTAATAAACTTAATTAACTTTTTGACTAAACTTAATGATCTTATATCTGAACCAGACTTCAACTGAAGCTCTTCTGTCAGCTATACTTCGAGAACTATCCGTTCGACTCACAGAAGTGTTCAGTGAAACTGCAGGTCAGGGGTCTGCCCGACGAGAATGTATGGCTTCGGTGGCGGGAAGTGGATGCCTTCCGGAATGCCGAGCGCTTCCATATGAGTGGCTTTTATCTCATAGGCTATGAACTGCTTAACGATTCCGTTCAGGTCGTCGACCTCTTTGAAGACGATAGGGTCTCACGAGTCACTGTTACACTACATATGCAACGGGAATGGCATCACTTTATACTCGATGTGTTTCTCCCATCAGGACTTTTTGTGATGATGTCGTGGCTGTCATTCTGGTTGGAAATAAGTGCCGCTCCCGCGAGGGTTACATTGGGTGAGTTGCATCACATTTACACTAACAGATTGTAAGTGTGTTTTTCATTATTGATGGTGTGATTGATGGGAAAGGGGTGACAACTATGCTAACATTGGTTACTAATTCGATGTCAACGCGAGAGAAGTTGCCAAAAGTCAAATACATCCACTCATTGGACATATGGATAACATTCTGCACTTTTATAGTGTTTGCGTCTCTCATAGAGTTTGCAATCGTTAGTTATCTGTACCGCTCGGACAAGAATCGTCGACAAAGGGCTAAGACATTGTCGGCCCTCTCTCTGGCATCACTCGCCTCCTCAACTGATCCCTTGATCTCTAAATATCTCGACGTTACCGTAAAAACTAATGTAAATAATGTGGTTATATTTTATGATTACATACAGAACTGTATACTAACTTAGTAAGAAATATTGCTATTTATAGGAAATGACTAAAACAAAGGATAAGATGGTTCCTAATTTATCGGATAATCTAAGATTTAATGGCGAGCCCATCACCACTACATGTATGTTCAATAAGCCATCGAAAGGGAGGCGACAATCGTTGCTAAAGAGATTCCTCAAAATCAAGTGTCCCAACGATTTGGCTGAATATATAGACAGAAAATCTCGTGTTTTATTCCCCTTATGTTTCCTTCTCTTTAATATAATCTATTGGACGACAATGATGTGATCAAATGATTAATGATTTATTCATCATCTAATCCTTTCTACTATAAAAATTTATAAACTTTATAAAATATAATTCTTTATGAATGTTTTATAATGTATTAATTATTTTAAATGTTTAATAATGTATTTTGTAATTATACTTAAGTCATAAGTTTTATTCATATTCATTTGACACAGGCAGATACTGTATTTTGAAATATTATTATTGTATATTTCCAAAACTATGTAACTTTTAATAAGTAAACTTCCACTTATTGTTTAATAAAAGTGTGTTTTAATTTAGAATTTTAATAAGCGTATACAAAATGTCAATAAAATTATATCTAAGAATACGTGACAAGGCATATGAACATTCACTATTAATTTCATACCTAATAATAAATTTATTAGTTATACAGTTCTACTCAATAATTTTTGCTGATTCTGTTTGACAACTCACTAAAGACTCAAATTCTTGTTTTATTTGTGACACATTTATGGGAAAAGTTGTAATAGAATATCATCTCATATGTAAAATAAATATAGATTAGTAATATTGTCACAATTTGTCACAATTACTTATATTTACCTTAAATTGTCACAATGAGGACAAAAGTCCGGATTATAAACACTAAGTCATCGAAAGACAAGTTCAACGAATTCCTAGAGTCCACAAGTATTGACTATATTTGTGAAAGTTTTGATATTTCATTTCAAAATCAACTTCACTAGAATAATAGAAAAAGTTTTTAAATACTATTTTTAATTAGAACTTTAAATCAAATTATTTATTACATAAAAAGTGCAATCAATGAAAAGTGAAGTTCGCAAAATTGCCAAATTCATTACCATTTATTCATAGATAATGAATGCCTTTTCTGGTCTTATATAACAAATAATTAAATTTCTTACCAAATATTAATTAATTGTATTTATGATTCAGTAAAGGCCTTCAAACAACAACAACTGCCCGCTTGGAAGCCATTCTTCACGTGCGGAACAGTATTGCCGTCTTTTTTCTTATTAGGCATCGCATCCGTCACTATAGGCGTGGGTCTACTGTTCCTATCATCTCGTGTCCAACAGTTTGAATTGGATTACACCCACTGTTGGCCACTCTATGGCATGACTTCATGCGCCCAAAGACTGGAAGATAATCCGGATTCCGAGGGCTGTAAGTGTTGGTATAAATTTGAATTAAACGAAGATTTTGAATCTTCGGTTTATATATACTATGCGCTCACAAACTACTATCAAAACCACCGAATGTATGAGAATTCAATGGACAGTTACCAACTCTCAGGCAAACTCCAGGCATCCAGTGATTGCGCGCCCTATCAGTACAAAGAGATTTACGGACAACTCGTGCCTATAGTTCCCTGCGGTATAGTTGGTAACACTTTCTTCAACGACTCGTTCAGAATATGGAGACACGACCTCATCAGTGATTTGGCACAAGAAGTGCCGCTACTGTTCACTGGAATTAGTTGGCCCTCTGATCAGAATATGTTTCACAATCCAATCGGTATTTTATTTAATAGTTTAATTAAAAACATACTAAATGAAAATTGAATTAAATAGGTGTGCCATTAGAGGTGGTGTACTCCAACTTTACAAATCCTCCCAATTGGAGACACCGACACATCTGGCAATTAGATCCCAAAAACCCCAATAATAACGGCTTAAGAAACGAGGCGCTGATTGTGAAGGTGTGCCATTAGAGGTGGTGTACTCCAACTTTACAAATCCTCCCAATTGGAGACACCGACACATCTGGCAATTAGATCCCAAAAACCCCAATAATAACGGCTTAAGAAACGAGGCGCTGATTGTGTGGTTCAGAACCGCAGCATTTCCCGAGTTTCGCAAACTTTACGCCAGAATTAATCACTTGATTGGAAGTGTTTATGAAAGATCTTTACCAAACGGACACTACTTTCTTGAAATCTCATACAGTAAGCATTGAAAAGAAATTTTAAATTATAATTTTCAAATATTGTGTTCAGATTATCCGGTCATTAAGTTTGATGGCCATAAAAGTTTGATTATAAGTAACACCTCATGGATTGGTGGTCGCAATTCATTTCTAGGCATCGCATACATAATCTTCGGTGTCATTGAACTCATTATGACATTGTGTTTGTTATTTATTTATAAGAAATACGGAATGAGGTATTCATAGTAAAAACTATTTGTCATTTTACAAGATTTTAAAACTTTTATTTACAGTAAACTGGAGCGCATAGCAATAACTGAAAAAACTCCGTACTATAGTGAACGCACAAAAAGTTATGAAAAGCAATTTGATTCATCTAATAATTTAAATAGTTTTAAATTTTCTCATTAATTGAAGCTTTAAAGCATTTTATAAATTTATGTATTTATATCTGTGATAAATTTTAAATGTTCAACATGTTAATATACAAAATTGTAATTCTTATTTTGCCATACAGTAAATTCTTGAATTCCTTATTTTTACTGAATTTTAAATAAAATTTAATATTTTAAAGATTTTATTAAATAAATGGCTATCCAATTAATTTTATACAAATATTACAAAATACAATTCAATAATTTTATACAAAACATAGTTTATAAAACGTTTGTAAAATAATTTACATACGAACTACACAATTGTGCGAGTTCAAATCAATTGAATTATTCTCATTTTCATGATATGGTGGGGGATTGGGAGGCAATTCACTATAAGGAGGAGGTATTGGCGGATAATTATTAGGAATATAAGGGGAAAGTTGTCTTTCATCTAACTCCATACTTTGAAAAGGACTGTTATTTCGATATATATGTCCATTATCTCGCATATAAGCAGATTGTGGCTCCGGGATGCAAGCCGTATGTCTTTCTCGTATTTGACGGGCAAACGAGAAGGACACCATAGTTACGAACATATAGAATAGTGTTATGAACCAAAAGTATGGCACCATTAGTGAGGAATATATTTGTGTGACCACTGATAGGATCATAAATACAG